TTGTTCGGCTGTTCGCGCATGCGCAGTTCTGCGCCAATCATGTGCAGCGTTTGTGACAGTCTGCGCGCTGTGCGACGAAACGACACACCGGTGTTGGGGCATTTGGTGGTTGATGTTTGGGCGCGTGTGACAGCGCGAAGAAGGGATAGTGCTCACTGCTCTTATCAAGTGGACTGGCATGGAGTTTTACGGTAGGTAAGTGTATTGAATGGTGCGCTTGATCGTATGTACTATGTAAACGTCATGATTTTGATTGAGTTTCACACCATCAAACATGAAGCTGAATAGCTGTTCAGCCTGGAGACTTATACCCTCGCTCAGAAAAGCCGCATTCCGTGCTTTATATCTTTGTGAAATACCAGCACTTCTGAACCAGAAAAATGAAATACAAAACACAAATATTTATCTACATACTTATCACCGAGCACGCTCATTCTCTGTCCGCGTTGAAAATCGAAAGAACATTTTATACGGATCAATGAAAAGTGCTTTTACAGTATAAATGCAACAATAAGTTATTTTTCAAGCAAATATGCAATGTAAATTAAACCAATTAATCTCTTTTTCAGGTACGTACCATTAGAGCAAATGGTTCCAAAAAATTGAATAGTTATACAAACCAGGACCGGGTGGACACCGCAGTCGCCCTCGCCAAGTGGTTTAGCGGAAACTGCCTGCTTATAATTAAGTAGGTATACCTACATATATGGAAACTGCGCCGAAAGCTGGCCGACCATCTACTGCAGATGTGTGTGTGTGTGTGGAGGAGATAGACGCCTCCAAAGCTCCCATTCACCAGAGTGAAGTTCCTTATAAACGATTGTTTGCTAATTGCTTTATGTCTTATGAGCGATTATTTGCTGTCCTTACTTTATGCTTTCGGTTGGGTGTTCAACTAAGCATTATGAACGGAGAGGGAGGCTAGCGGGCCTTGTGATTGTTTTATAGTTTTGATGGCGCTTTTTCATGACTCATGCCGTATTATTGCTGCAGTTTGCAGTCCACTGTTTCATGTATTTTTGTTTCATTTGGCGTGTCTGTAGTCGTTTGAAATATACATTCAATCAAAGTCAACCACTACTTTCCTTTCGCAATGCTCGATGACCGGTTAACAGAGCATATGAGTGACCGTAACAATTTTGAATAGGTATGCATTGTAACCGCACAACCTGCTGAAAGTGCATTGGCTGCTCCTTGCTACTTGATCCAGTGTGAAGCAAAAGCAAGATGAAGTCAAGTCGAGACTTGAGAAAACAGGAGCCGTCACTCGAGCCGAACCAGAGCAAAGCCACAGCAGTTTGCAATGTATAAACCCCATTCACTTCTATGGCTTAAGTCGGGATAGACAGGGCAGACAGAGTGGGCTTGCCAGAGTTCAGCCCGCTCGGGCCCAGAGTAACCTCCATTATATAAATGGATTCACTGCTCGGGCTTAAATTGGGCTAACGACAATCGTCGCTCAACTAGGGCTAAACTACGGCTGTCCGGAGCTCGCAGAGCGGGCATACCTCAGGCAGAGCATGGGCTTTAGTCGGCGTTTTTGTGTCATACGCCGACTTTAGCCCAAGCCCTAGCCGACTTTAGCCCGACTTAAAATCTCGGGCAATCCGCACTTGAGCCTGCTTGGGCCCGGAGCAAAATTGCTGGCTGGGGCAGTGAACGCCAGGGGCCGTATTCACGTCGACTTCGTAAGTCGATTTTCTTTCCCAAGTATAATTTGGTATTCACGTCGACACTTCGTAAGTTTTTATCGACGGAGTTCACGTGATTAAAAAAAAAAAAATCTGAAGAATTAGGTCATGCGTAAGAAAATTCTTACGAAAATGATCGACGTGAATACGGCCCCTGGTGTCAGTTCCATAGACCGCAACTGCTTGTGTGAGGCCCATATCGGTTTGGCTCCGCGTCCCTAATTCATCTAATCACAGCGCCTGCAGCGCGGGAGCTCTGCGGCACAGCATCAGTTCAGGCGCTAACTACTAGCGCCATCTATGGACGGAATCACAAACTATGCTGACGCCCGCGACGCATACTGGACAAATAACCATAACTTCAGCTGAAATACCGGACGATGAAGAACTTACACGCATCTCTATCGTCTATAACTCGTCCCCTCTATCCTTTCAAATCACTCGAGAATTGACGCCTGCATTTTCATAAACCAACGGCGGGCGAAAAAAATGATTGCCTTTGTAACGAAATAAATTGTCCCACAGCCATGCGATCGTGCGTAGCCTGGTGCTCACCCCGAACACTAATGAGTTTCAAACAGAGGGTCGGAGCGAGTCCTGTGTCTGACGCCTAACAGAGCCCCCCCCCCCCTCCCCAGCCCCCTGGCGTCAATCAGCGCTCTCTTTATGCGTGCCCGAGAGCCGAGACCGGTGCGGGCAGTCTTAATGACACGCTTCAGCGCCACCCTTGCCGTCGACGGCCAACTCGCCCCGGGGGCACACGCGGAGGTGGGGAGTGGGCGGGGGAGGGACGGGCGTGGAGGAGGCGTCGGAACTTTGGAGCGCTGTGCGCGGAGTGAGTGAGTTAGTGTCGTAATGGTGCGAGTTGCAGAGTGTGGGAGGAGAGGCGGGCAGAGGCGGGGGTCAGAGGGTACCTTCGCGGCAGCCGCGTGTGCGTGACGGGGGTTTAGATTTCCAGCGTAAAGCTCAAATGTGCGGTATTAGGGAGTAAGTACCAGTAATAGTGTGACTTGTGAGTGCTTTTAACTTTATGCTTTTAAAGTTTACCCGATTGATATAAGAGTTAGAAAGATTATACCTATATGCGTATAACAGAAAATTAACTCGTTACATTAAAGCCGCAGTGTTAAGTGTTTGACACCATGGCAGCTTGACAAGCCTTCCTCCACAGATGCAACCGGAAACATCTCACCAGCCGAAAAAGTGAACCGAAGTCAGCGAATCAGTTGACTTCGGATTCTATAGCATGACTAGTAAGACACCCTGCAATCATCTTTAATCCCGTGCTAGACCTGCCGCCAAAGTTTCGGTCACAGTCAGGTAGCAGCCCCGACAACCGATGAATGAATAGTGGGCACACGTGAGCGCGGCTATAGCCGTAATATGCACCCGGTGCAGTGACCTTTGGCCGCAATTTGCATATGTTCTGCGGGCGCAATGACGGCCAGCGGCGGCCAATGGCCGGGCCGGACGGCGCTCCGTCAGCACGGGCGACACTCGGCTGAACAGACTGATTGCTCCGCGAATCAAATGGTCGCCGCTAACAGCCTGTCATGCTAATGCGCCAAACTGGTCGCCGCCGCGCCGCTGATGAGCGCCCGGAGAGAACGTCATTACTTGCCCCGCTCAAAAGTTCCCGACTGGAAATAGGCTCCCGGGACGGGTGTTAGGTAAGTTGGGATGGCTCTCGGGTAGTTATTTGAATGGTCAGTTATTGATTGCCGCTTTTTAAGGATTGTTGAACCTGCTTCTCTCAGCTTGCTCCTTCGGAAGGAGCTTGCATAACCAATACGAAGGCTCTTGGGTGTTTCCAAAGAAACGTGCAAATGCATTCATTCGTTGTAAAGATTCATATCAAAAGGACTTCCCACCACGACATAAGACACCTGACCAACTTAGATGGCATCATTAGGTCCCGTTACTGCCCTGGACACAGCACCTAACGTGGCACCTTGGCCAACGGAACCTTCCCCAGCTACATAAAGACGACCAGCGCGATAGGGTTCATCGTAGTAGCGGTTACCTCGACAAGATTCGAAACCGAATAACGGTATCGCACACCAAAGATGATCTGTATGTAGAGATCAGACGTTCAGTACGTCACAAGATCTCGGGTTCTGCAGTTACATAACCTTTGCAAAAACGCTTCCGTTGACGTACAACATCATTGTAAGAATGACCGGGACTGGGAGTCGCATATCAGGGGATGGTTCGCCGAGAATAAGTAGGAATCTTTGCTTTCAGCACGGCGGAGATCACGCATCCGCTGACCTCTGGCCGGCGATCGGCCAAGAGCTACGTTTCCAGCGCGACACGAGTTACAGAGAACGATGGGCGCACACCGGGGAGGGGATGGGAGCTGGGCTCGAGGGAAGACCCGTGTATAGTTACCAGTAAAACGCCTTTTGGGCGAAGAACGAGCGAGCGAGATAGTGAGCCCTGCACGTGCGGAAGGGCGAGAGGGTGCTTCCAACGGGCATGCGCAAAGCACCCTTCTAACTGGTCGCTAGCGGTGTGCCAAATTTGAACGCAATCGGCCCAGCCGTTCCTGAGATCTGGAAGCGGCATTCTGCACGTGCGCACGTGCAAACGGGGTCCAAAATGACTTTTGTACGGCACCCTACTAACTGGTCCCCAACCGTGTACCAAATTTGAGCGCAATCAGCCCAGCCGTTCTCGAGATCTGGAAACGCCCCCTGCACGTGCGCACGTGCAGTAGCACCCTAACCGCAACACATGGGAATGCATTGCCTGGTGGGTGCCTACCTGTATGCCAAGTTTCAGCGAAATCGCCCCAGTAATTACCGAGTTACGGAAATGGGAACAAATTTGGCACCTCTTATTGTTGTATTTTGCACGTGCACTGGGGGTGACCCACATGCATCGAGAGTATCCTATTTTCGGTAGAAGGGATGCTGCTACCCTACAAAAATTACCGCAAGTCAATCGCTCAAGCGGCTGCTGAGATATGAGCCTCTCAAAATCACTACTTTTGCAAAACAGCTTGAACACCCTTGACTTTTCACGTGGCACGTGCCACGACGGTCACTGAGATGTATCAAAAGTAGTCAATTACGGGGTAGAAGGGATGGGGCTACCCAAGAAAGAAGACCGCAGGCCAATCGGTCCAGCGGTTGCTGAGATATAAGCCTCTCAAAAGCGTTACAGGCCGGGCCGGCCGCTCATACTGAGATTTTTCCGTTATATTGAAAAGACTCACTTCGCTCGCTGCGCTCGCTCGCTCGTAATCACTAGAAAAGAAGACAAAATAGCAAGTCCCATATACTATCCCTCCCCACTAAACAATACTTTAACTGGAACTGTATTAAAACTAGACGAACATTTCTTCACACGGCGAAAGCAATAGATTTCAAACACTGTTCCACACCACTGGAAATCGAACACTCAACGCAGACACCGTAAGGCACAATGTCTAATTGGTCCATGGGTTTGATTACCGAATACCGTAAGGCATATGAAACTGGTATACAACCGACAGCCAACGAGGGAATGGAAGATTTGTCTTAATTCCAGTTAGGTCATAGAACAGTGAACAGATCATACGGAACACACATCAATAAAGCATGGCAAGTACATTAGTAGCGTTCAGTCTTCACACTAAATCACACAGTCAGCGTATAATACGCAACTAATTACAGCACGCGGAAGTTGTCCCTAGATAAAGACCCTATGCAGTATGCGGGAGCATCCCGGTGAAATGATTTTAAGAAAAACTTAGCTGCAATTTGAATGGCTGCCCTTAGTGCGTTAAAACATTATGCTATCAAGTTGTTTTGTTAATATGAAAAAATAAACCTTTCTAATTGAATGTATCAATCAGTAAATGACGTCTGAGTGAGACCCCATAAATGCAGTACAATGCCACGTAGTTAGGTATATGGCACCAATTGTTAAATGCTCCACGCCTCGCCATAAGTCGCTATAAGAAGTGTCCGGCCCACGCCAGACCGCTGGACGATCGTTACTCGTTAAAAGGCAGCGTTTGGTTCGTTACAATTCACTCCGACCCATAAGAGAATCACCTGACTCATGGAAACGATATCTCCGGGCAAGGCGGCACATTTCAAGGCAGTATGACTATTAGAACCGCCTGTAGCCATGCTTTACCCTCACAATGAAAGAAGCCTGCTAAGACAGCTTACCTACCCGCACTCGTTCGAAGACGCACACATAGCTTGGCCCTGTTCAGTCTGGGAGGCATGGTTCCCTTGGCTTAGATTCGACTATTACACACACGTCACTATATCCAGAGACTCTCACCAGTTTCCACACAGCCGAACTGACCAATGAGCACGCGGTACTAGGGGTGACTACTCCTCACCTTACTCCTCTAGGCGGTACAGCCGAGACCGGAGTCTCGCCCGGTCTCAGCTCCCAGCGGGGCGACCTTCATACCTTCCGGAGACAGACGCTGGAGCGAGTCATCCTGGGAAGAGTCATCCCGAGACAACTCTGACTCTGACCCCGGCTCGAGATGAGTTATCATGTCTTCCTTCCATCGAAGCTCCTTTCCATTCGTCGTGGCGGCACTTTTCGTGTCTGTCTGGCTCTTAGCAGATTCTCCAGTTTCAAGAAACACGGAATCTGTGTCCCCATTCAGAGTGATTGAAGGAACACTGGCTTTTGACACTCCGCTCTCAAGCGACTCATTCACAGCAGGGGTCGTTCTCTCAGACTTTGAGGTTGGTTTAGCACTGGCCACGTCCAGACCCAGCCGTTTGTCCGCCTCAGAGTCCCACTCAGGGCTGTTCGACTCTTCCTTTACAGCCGACATTGAGGACTTTTCACCGCGACTGGCACCGTTCTGAGTAGTTGCCGGCAAGTCCCGCTCGGCGGCGCCACTGTCGCCCGGTGCGGGCCAAGTGGCGGTGCGATCGCCGAGGATGCGGCGCCGACCGGAGGGACGCAGAATGTGCTGCCCGAACTGCGGGAGACAGAACAGAGATGTTAGAACAGTGACGGTGAAAACAAGGACTGGTAGAATGCAATGTTCATTGAAAGAACAATGTAATGAGTTGACACTTAAATGTCATTAAAACACATCAAGTACTTTGAAGCAAGGATAGTAAATGCAAACGCTGCAAGTTACAAGCGAAAAAGGGAACCAGAACATTTTTTTTCTCCAATCCGCCCTCCCATGCTGCAGTATGTCTATGCATTCTGTCTGCACTGACCAGCGGCGTGGTGCTGTTGGCCGCGCCGGGCTGATTCCTCTCCGCCTGACGCGGCGGCGGCGGCGGCACCTTCTGCCGCAGCTGGAACTGGCGCTGCGGCGCCGCCTGGTGGTGCTGCACGTGACTGTACTTCTTCTCCTGGTGCTGGCTCGGTGAGTGGTCGTCGCCCTCTTTATCCGGGCTGTCCTGGATGTGCGCGAACCTGCGGCGCAGCGCGGCCGCCAGCATGGCTGCCGGGTCGAGCGGGTCGGCTGGTTTGGGCGCCACGCGCAGCGGAGTGCCGCCAGGCGACCTGGGGATGGGAGATTGGCGTGTGAGGTCCTCCGTCAGACCTGGGTGGTGGGAGGAATACCGCAGAGTAAACTATGACGCGGTAACTATTGACAGAAGGAGTCAGAACTGGGACGCCCGACGAACACAGCTATACCATGTTTGATGAATCTGTAACCCGAAATTACTACCAGAAATGAGTACTGAAGCTCACACTCACACAGTGTAAAAAGCTACAACTGCTCACCCGGCAAAGGTTCATCCCTTACCTCCCGTTAACCCGCGAGTTGCTGGGGGGGGGGGGCGTTAAACGCCCCCACTTTTTTCGCCGGGCCATAGCATAAAAACGGCGCGCCGCAGGCGCGCCAAATTTTGGGTACCTGTAGGGAATTGATTGAAGTTTATTGTGACAAAGTTTCAAAAAAATCGGTCGGAAAATTTTTGAGATATCGAGGTTTTAGTGACGTCATGATTTCTGAGTTTTCGACCAAAAACGGCATATGTTCAAAAAATCATATAAAATCACAGAATAAACATACAGACATGCCGTAAACGCCATTAGACTGCCAATACCATGAACAATCAAATGGCTATCTTCGATTATTGATTATCGTTCCGCATTTTCCATAATCTTGAACTGAATCTTGGCAATTTTTCGTGACTACTTCACGACCATGATACATGAATTTCTTAAATTGAACTTTTTGAGCCAAGCACGTACACATATGATAAAATGAATGTCACCATCGTGTTCTACGCCCCAAATTACCTATAAAACATGTGTCACAGGCTGCGAATATCAGTTTTGATTTTCGGGGATATGTGCCTACCCGGTTGACCTGACCTTGACCCTGACCTATGCTTGACTGACCCCTACATGGAGCTGACACTCTTGTAGGCCTTATAAGATGGATTGTGCACCGTTTTGACAGAGTTTATGGCGAGAGGCGCCCATTGCGAAGTCCTGAAGTCCATGCTACTGAAAGCCCGATTTCAGGTGTTTGACCTGACCTTGACCCGACCTGTGACCTCAAAATTCAACTTTAAAGTACTCATCTGAAGCGTCTCGTCGCGCTCTTTCGTTTGCCGCCTCGTGCGTTTCGCTGCGCCTATTGGTTCTCGAGTTATCGGCTGGGGGCGTTTAACGCCCCCCCCCCCCCCCAGCAAACGGTGGGTGGCGAAATACCCCAGCAACTGCCGGGTTAAAGGGACTATCCCACCTTCTAAAATGTTGTTAAAACCAGTTAAATTGTGCCCGACTTTATAGATTGGATGACCAGGAACACGGTTCTGGCATTTATTTTTCATTAAACATCTTAGGCTTCCCATATTCCAAACACAAACTTTCAAATATGTGACGTCACAGCCCAAAATAACCTCCTTCCCCAGGCCACATTACTGTCATAAAGCTGATTCTTTTTACTCTGTAGGCACCACAACAAAGTTCAGACCAAGTTTTAAGCGATTTTTCAACGAACAAACCCATTTAAATCAGAACGACTAAACGAGGTGACGTCACACTAACGGTCGCTCCATGTTGAAGATAGGGCCTTGTACAAGGCCCATTTTCAAATGAAGGGAACGAATTTCTTCAACGCCAAGAGGCCGCGGGGGTTGCAACCTAGATAGATAGTGGTTTCTGAACCTCGCCGCAAACTTGGCTATCTCAACTCAAACCCCATGTTAAAGGTGGGATAGTCCCTTTAAGGCACCACCCCATCCACCACTACCACCATCACTCACCTCTGGACCCGTTTGAGTCGCACAGAGCCCATTCCTCGCAGCACGTCCGTCATTGAGGGCACTGAGAGGCGCCGATCTCCCGCCTCCCCCTCTCCTCCGCCAGCGTCCCCACCCCCTCCTCCGCCAGCCGCAGCGCGGTTCTTGGCGATCTGCTCCTTCAGGGACAGAGCTGCCGACCCGGCGCCGGGCGGTGGCGGTGGGGGCGGGGGAGGTGGCGGTGGGGGTGGAGGGGGTGGGGGCGGGGGAGGTGCGCCCCCGGCAGGGGTGGGTCGCGGCGGAGTGGGCGCCGCGATAAGAGTTGATGAGAGTAGAGGGCTGTCGGGTCGAGACGTGTTGGCGCGGAGCAGCGCTGTAACAATACGGAAATGACACTTCGCGACTGGTATAACGACAGCACGACCTTATCATTAGACAGTCATCAGTTTCGACAAGTTCCACAGCTAGCATTAATTAATGTTTCTATCAACTGTAGCTACATCCTGCTCGTTTTCTTATAATATTTCTAGCTATCCGATTATTCAATTAAAATCACACTGCATAACAATCACACATAATTAGACGAAGAGACCAGTCTGCTAATCCACGAGCGTCTCCCCCCCCCCCGGCCCATTCCCTCCACCCCTATATTGGTCTCGCTTCTGTGCAACTTCCTATTACCTGCAATGTACTCACTCTCCGGTAAGAGCCCATATACCTTGATTGAGAGTTCACAAGTGCCACTTTACCTTACTCGAACTCTCACTCTCAGCTCTCGCTTTAGCGTAAGTTGCCTACCTTTATTGCACTTCCACCCCAGCACGTGCGATGCGTGAGTCAATTTACTTAGATTCATTGAAGGAACACGTGCCAGTTGGTCTTTATTACACTCACTCTCGGTAGTGCTATTACCTTCATTGCATTCTCGTTCCAGTACGATGGCAGCCACCTGCGCCCTGAGCTTGGCCAGCTCCTCCTCCAAGCTTTGTAACTTTGCTGTATCCACCGTGGTCGACTGCAATGGAATAGGGAATGGTGTTATCAAATGAGCTTAACGCTTCCTCGACATAGCTTTTCCTTGCCTTGCCTGTCAAAGTTACGATAATTTGCAATCTAGCCAGAAAAACTTATCAAAGGAAAGTGAAAAAACATATGATGGCATAGTGCATACGGATTTTAATGGTTCATAGGAGTTCGCTTAAAAAAGGCAACGCTGCCTAATTGCATAGCGGTAAGTAAATGTCTCCACGTTCTACATATATCTGCCGCTCGAGCAGTGGTGCGCTCACCTCGGTCACATCTCCGTCGAAGAAGCTGGCCCGCCGGTCGGTGGGGCTGTCAGCACGGGGCGACTCCCCGTCACACAGCTCGGGCCGCGCCGAGAGCGGCTCGTCGTCCCCGCTCGCCAGACTGCCCGCCAGACTCATCTGGCTGGCCGAGCGGGCCAGACTGAGCTGACTGGCCGAGCGCGCCATGCTCATCTGACTGCAGGAGCGCGCCATGCTCCAGCGGCTGTCGGAGCGTATGAGCCGTATACGGGGCCGCGGTACGGCCGGGAGCGGCAGCAGCCAGCCGACCAGGCGCACCACCGACCGGTGCCGGCCGCAGCGGCGGAACAGCAGCGCGTGCACCTGACGGACAAACGGGATTGGGACGGTCAGAGTGGGCCAGGTAAGGGTCAACAGGGTCACAGAGGCCAGAGGGAGAATGGTCAGTATAGGGTAGGGCACGCAGGCTTAGAGAGGGTTCGACGCGCGATTCAAAAAGGAACGAGGGTGATGGTGAGGCACAAGTATCAGACCAGAACATATTGTGTCAAATTAACATTTGTATAGCAATAAAGTATACCAAAGCGGCTGCCGTGAAAAACAAACATTAGTACGTAAAAATGAGACAGTGAAAGACATGTGCGTACGTCACATTGATCTGTCTAGCGTCCCATTCCTCATATAAACAGGTGGAACCCCCGGTACAGCTGTGCCCATGACATTGACTGGGGGTCACGTATCGCACGTCCATGGATAATTAGCGGGTAGCCGTGTGAACCGAACATATGCCGCCCTGCGTACTGCCCGCCTGGGTACTGGTCAGTAGCAGGCCCTACACCCCCATAGCGCCCTCACTTGGTAGCAGGGTCATTCCCTTGACGCAAGACCGGGTTTACGACGCGTGCGGATGTAGTGGTCGCTGGATAGGTACCTATATATCATAAGCAATAAACATGCTCAAGAGGCACAAGATATTGTGCTTAACATATGCATGAGTCAGGATTAACACATACCAGCAGCCAGTGATGGCACACACATAACACCAAAGTGTCCCACTCCATACAGGGTGGCGCCGATAAATGAAGACAATATGTGCTCCACACAAAACATTAATTTTTTGACAAAAGTCAGTACTTAAGATGAAAGCCTGGAACAGGGGTGAATGATGGCGACCTGTCGAGCACACTTCACTCGATGAATTCCCCTCCGCGTCGATGACGGCCTCGATGCGCGGCCTAAACCGGGCGCAGGCTTTGGTCAGCATGGTCTTGTCCATCTTGACCATCACCTGCTTGATGGCTGACTTCAGAGAGTCAATATTGTTGTGTGGGTGTTTGTTAGTGTCCCTCTCGACTACGCCCCACACTTAATAGTCGAGCGGGTTCAGGTCCGGGGAGTTTGGCGACCAGAACTCGGCGTGATGTGGCTGTGCAGGTTGGCGCTCATCCACTCCTGCGTCACCCTGCCTTTGTGGGCGGCTACAGAGTCTTGTTGGAACACATAGGGCCTTCCTCAGCCACTCGGTCGATCCAGGGCTTCACGACGTCACCTTCGTCGACGGTGACGTCGACGTCGGGTCATCGTCGACGATGTTCTCGACGTTGGATATGAAATCGTCGTCTCTGACGGCATCAGATCGTCGGGGATGTTTCTTTCGCTTTGCCATAGACGGGACGTCGCCCCCAGACTCATCCAAGCTCCGCTCGACTTTATAATCAAGGCTTCTGTCGACCTTGAGGAAGTCGGCGACCTCGGGTGCCTCGCTGCCGGCGTGAAGCGCCACAATGACCGCGTGCCTTTTCATTTCTTCCGTTATCATCTTCAGCTGCATCGTTCCCTTTTGCTGTGGATAACAATTTACATAAAGCATGGAACATGAATGCACAACATTATTGCTCTGCACAAAACAGTTTCCTCGTAACACAGGTTTGACAGTTGTGGTTATTTACCGGCGCCACCCTGTACATACAGCTCCCTTGGCCACCCCGTCTGCAGAGCGCCACCACCCACCTCAGAGGCCACAGCGCGGATGGAGGCCTCCAGACCGGTGTGGGTGAGCAGCAGCCATACCACCTCCTCGAGATCCGTCCGCAGCTCGTGGACGGCTCCCCGCACCAGCGACACCGGTCCGGCGGCGGCCTCCGGCTCCTCGGGACTGTCGGCCATCACTGCAGCAGACTGGGGATAGAATAAGCCATCATTACACTAGTCTCAGGGTAGAGAAACCCCATCACTGCACCAGCCTGGGGATATAGGGCTCCATCACTGCAGCAGACTGGGGATAGAAGAAACCAGCATTACACTAGTCTCAGGGTACTGGGTAGGGACACTCCATCACTGCTGCAGCCTCAGCAGTAGGGATATAGGGCTCCATCACTGCCTGCAGCTTGGGGGTAAACGACTCCATTGCTGCAGCAGCCTGTTGGTCTACCATTCCATCTCAGCAACAGTCTGGAAGATGTAAGGCTCCATAACTGCAGCAGTCTGATGGTATATAGTTCTATCCCTACAGCAACCTGGGGATACCAGGCTACATTGCTGCAACAATTCAGGGATGTAGGATCAGTCAGGACATATTCACTCATGGCCATTAGCAGCTTCACCAAGGAACATACAGAAACAAAGGCAAGTCCTCACTCTGAGTTATTGTTTTCAATGGGTGACAGACATTTGATGGTGCAGTTTTCATTTCAAGTCAGCTTACCAAAGTTCAGGTCATAAATAGTTATGGTACGCTAGGTAGGTAAGTTGGTAGTGGGTAGTAGGTTGTAGGTAGGAAGGTAGGTTCTCAAGATAAGCTGCTATTTTGTTTGTTGGAGGTTACGGGCGCGCCGACTACGAGGTCATTTTGCGCCAAGCTGCTATTTTTACTGGGTGAAACAGCCAGTCAGTAATTGACAGATCTCCAATTCAGATCATCAGAAGTGATCTGAATGAGCATGAAGTGCCTGAGGAGCATGAACAGTAAACATGTTTCAGAGCATGAAAATGGCAATGTGGTACCATTTTCACACCACAGACACTTGCAGATAAATCTATGGGTCTATCTATGTCTTATCTATCTATGTCTTTGCATCAGTTCTCCATGAATGTCCTGTGGGAAAGAGGAGATCAACAATAGGGTTGAGATAATAATGACTTATGAGTTGTAGTCAGTGATAACCAGAAAGCAGAGATTATCAGTGCCAGCTTTAGGGCTAAAGATATACGATATTGTATGCCATTTAGCATGCCAGAGGTGAACGATTTGTTCATTTTTGGCCCAGCAACTTATCCCTGGACATCAATACACAGCAATGCAGCATATTTATTCCTTCCTCTTTTGGATCCTCTTCCTTACTCCATGTTTAAAACAGTCTGTTATGGTCTGCTACTTGTTTTGTGTGAATTCAATATACAGTATGAATGTCTCATGGCATGATAGTTCTCAATCTGTCATGGAGTTCCATGCCTACAAATCATTCCATGTTTGCATTCAGTTTTTTTTTTCAGAGTGCTGTTTGAACTTTGAAGTCAGTTTTTTAATCAACAATCAGCAGGCTTCAGGTTTTCCCATATCAACATATGGAATCTACTTGCTGGCAGTTCCTAGTCTCTTATTAATTAGGTATAAGTGAACCACACAGAACATGTGAAAAAGCCTAAAAACACCAGCAAGCTAGCAGCCAGCTAGTAAGGCAGTATAGGTATAAGGTAACCAAACTGCCCATGTTTCAGATCATTAGGCTCTATTCTACACAATGTTGGCATGCATTTTCTTCATTGCATTTTATTTATTTTGTCTTTTAATTGAAGTAAAAAGTTAGATGAAATCCTCCTTTTGCACCCTAGGCTAAAAAAAAAAAATGATCAGGAACCATACCACATAATCAAAAACCATATATCAACCTAGAAAATTGTTCAAACAATCATTTACTTTTAAGAAAAAGCAGATACATTACAAGAAGAAATAACAGAACCTTATCTAACCTGACCTTAACTTACTTACCGCAACATGAATTGACTAAATGGGTGGTTCAGTGGGTAAAAGAGTAAGGCTGGGGGGATCCAGAGCGTCGTAAGCCTCGTCGTAGCTGCGACGTGTCGCAAGTTGTGTAGTAAGTCGTTTTTGAAGGGATCAATCGATGAGTAGCGTTACTAAAGTAGTAAAGTCTATCGCAAATAGCCTGATTTGCGACACAACTTACGAATTTGAAATAGCAGTCGTAAGTTGTGTCGCAAGTTGACCTTGCCTTGAGGAAGAGGTCACAGGTCACAGGTCATTCGGGTCATGGTCACGAAATTTACATGGTAGGTGTAAAATTGTTTTAACTTTAGATCCTGAAAATTTGGTTGCAATCCGTTGACGCTAACGCGAGTTATAGAGCTTGAACTGACGGGTCGTCTATGAGGCCTCAATCCGTGCCAGCGAGAGTGTTGAAAATGGTGCATAATATGTTATATTCACATTTATTGGGGTATTCGGGGATATGAAGTAGCCAAACACCATTCCAGCAACTACTGGCGAATCCAGAAAGGCGGTCTTGGACGTTGCAAGGGGCATCCCCCAAAATATTCTCCCAATTCCAAAAACGACGTGTCCCAGCTGACCCCGATGACCCCCAATGAGCTCTGTGATGACCCCAAGTTGACCTTTTTGACCTGACCTGTCCCAGATGACCTCCGTGACATCCTTTTGAGCTCTCTGATGACTCCAAGCTGACCTCTGTGACCTGACGTGTCCCAGATGACCCCCATGACCTCCAATGGAGCTATGTGATGACCCCAACATGACCTTTGTGACCTGACGTGTCCCAGATGACCTCCGTGACCTCCAATTGAGGTCTCTGATGACTCCAAGCTGACCTCTGTGACCTGACGTGTCCCAGATGACCTCCATTTGAGCTCTGTGTTGACCCCAACTTGACCTCTGTGACCTGGCGTGTCCCATATGACCTCTGTAACCTCTAAGTGACCTCTATGATAACCCCAAGCTAACCTCTGTGACCTGACGTGTCCCAGATGACCCTCATGACCTCCAATAGAGCTCTGTGATGACCCCAAGTTGACCTCTGTTACCTGACGTGTCCCAGATGACCTCCGTGACCTCCAATTGAGCTCTCTAATGACTCCAAGCTGACCTCTGTGACCTGACGTGTCCCAGATGACCTCCAATTGAGCTCTCTGATCACTGATGACCTTTAGTTGAGCTCTGTGACCTGACTTGTCCAATATGACCTCTGTGACCTCTAAGTGACCTCTCTGATGGCACCAAGCTGACCTCTGTGACCTGACGTGTCCCAGATGACCTTCAATTGAGCTCTGTGATGACCCCAAGTTGACCTCTGTGACTTGATGTGTCCCAGATGACCTCCGTGACCTCCAATTGAGCTTTGTGATGACCCTAGGTTGACCTCTGTGACCTGACGTGCCCCCAAGTTGCCCTCTGTGACCTGACGTGTCTCAGATTACCTCCGTGGTCTCCAATTGAGCTCTGTGATGACCCCAAGTTGACCTCTGTGACCTGACGTGTCCCAGATGACCTCTGTAACCTCCAATTGTGACCTCCATCTACAAATTTCTTACCTCCTGTGACCTCAAACTCTCGGAAGTCATTTCTTCTAAAGCATCGGATTCTAGATGCCCTATAGCCATGAATCTCCTGTGATCAATCCCAAATTTAATGGCAAATCACGTGAGCGTTAGCAACCACAAGTCACCCAGTTAATACAAAGCTTAAGAATCAGAGAACATGCTTGACCTTGCTGTCTCATAAGCTCGCAAACCAGAAAGGCGAATGTTCCTTTATGCGTGATAGAGTTTTCGACCTTACTGACGTTTACTACGGGATCAGCTGATCGTGTAGCCTTTTAAATTCTAGAGTAAAGCGGGTATTTAAGCCTCGTCGCAGCTACGTTCTGTCGTATCCTCCGACAAACCCCTCTTTCCTCAACATCCCTCCTTTTCCGCTATGACACAACTTGCGACGGCATATGTGTCTAACTTGCGACGTGTCGTAGATGGACTTGCGACGCCCTGGATCCCCCCGGCCCAAAGGAAGTTGAAGTGATGATAAAAAACAATCTAAACTGACATAACCTTACCTACTAACCTACTACTTTACTCACCTACAACCTACTTTGGACCTTTTGTATACTAATACCATTGGGGTGTAACTTATAAATGTTTTGAGTAAAAAGTAGCAAAAGAAAGTATCAATATGCAATCTCACTTTGTAAGCTTAGAAGCAAGTGTTCTTTCCTTTCAAATTTCATGTTCTTATTTTGCTAATTTGTCAAGTTTTTAGTCAGTGCAAAAAGAGGAAATGACCAAATTTTAATTTTGGCATACCAAAAATTGAAATTTTTGAGATTTTTATGCAAAATCTGTAGGTATAGCAACATTGACAAAGCCCAAAAGTTCTTCAGGCTCCGCATTCCGCAACCAACCAATACTTCCGAGTTCTGAGCGTAGGTACTTTACACAGGTTACCTACATAAGTCTGCTAGAAGACTAAATTGACCATTACTAAAAATGCACAACTGGAGTGTAAGGCAGCTGTTTAATTATAAATTTACCTCATTACTGAAAGTGGATTGCGGCAAGACCACAAAAGCAAAATGATGGTCGATGAAAAAGACAAAGACAATCAAACAGCAAACCAAACCTTTTTTAAGCATACGTACCTGTTGAACTCCTATTTCTCGGGTCCTATGGAATTATAAAATAGGCATACCAAAACCCATAACAGGGTAAAAACTCCAGAAAGTTCACAGCTTTCATTTCTTATCAAACTTTCAAAACAGCACGGCGGCAGTCATGTAGGTGGCGTGACAGAAGTGGCAGAGAACTTTTCGTTGTTTTAAAACGCGGTAACTAAATAAAAAGTGATGAAATTATCATGCTATATAAGCAAATACTTGTCCTGAATTTTACGATGAAAGTCGCATCAAATCAGCAAAAATGTGCACGATTTTTTTTGTGATCTTTTGATATGAAGCTACTGCTAATTTCCACATTTTTTTCACGATCGTGCAGTAGGTATTTCTATAATGGGTAGTGTGCGCCGGCCGCGGCCAATGTATTGAGCCGATCGACACCCGTATCAGCCCAAAATTACTTTACTAATGGTGTCAACCGTGTCATGTCATCTCACAGTGCTTTCCGCGATAACTAATTTTCGGACCTGCGATAACGATAAAACGATAAGAAAGGTTTGCGATAACGATAAACGATAAACGATAACATTTTTCAAAAAATTAACAGCGATAGCGATAAAACGATAAAACGATAACGATACCTAAATGTTTTTAAACAGCGATAACGAAATAATAAACGATAAAACGATAACGATAATTGTTTTTTAACGGCGATAACGAAACGATAAACGATACAACGATAACGATAATTGTTTTTAACAGCAATAACAAAAGCGATAAGAAGTACAGCTTAAATAAGTGTACTTAAAGGGACCATCCCACCTTAACATTAGTTTTGAGTTGAGATAGCCAAGTTTGCGGCCAGGCTCAGAAACCACCATTTATCCTGGTCGCAACCCCCGCAGCTTTATGGTGTTCAAGAAATTTCTTCCCTTTACTTGCAGGGTGGGACCAGCTTAGTCCCTATCTCTTAACCATTAGCGGTTTTTTGATGACGTCAGCAGTCATTTCAACGCCCGCCATTCCTTGAACCCGAGTTTTGCTGACCTTGAGCTCCCTTTTTTATCAACGTGAAATCCGTCGTCGGCGCTGAGAAAGCCTATTGCTTTTCATTTTAATTTGAATATTAGAAGATACCCACCACTGGAACTTGGACTGATATTATACCAAGGCCGAAGATGATCAAGCTGCCTGCTATATCTGGAGCTTGGTGTTCAACTTCAACATGGAATAAAAAACAAAATATCAAAGCAAACTGGATATGGTACTGCAAGTTAAAGTCCAAAGAAATTTGAAGAGCTGACAATTGACATTAATTCTTTTCCTGTAAGGTTTCCATATGGAGATCACAGTCACACCATGAAGAAATATTTTTGATGTTAACAGTTGAAAGGGGATTTATCTTCCAGTTTTGATGAAAGACGCTGCTGACTGTCTTTGGAAAAGGATGTCGGCATGAGGTGCAATTGTGCTTGTGAAGTGGTTATAACTGGTCTTTTCACAGTATTAAATTAAATGTGCCATTGCAGCCAAGTGTGTTATCATGTAAGGTAAAATCAAAACTACAATGTTGGTTTTACGAGCATTGAGAAGGCTGGTAGGTAACACCTGCCTGTGCTGGTAAATCATGCTGCCAGAGTATTCTAAATTAATTTTATCATACACTATTGTTGTCCAGAATGGTTGCACTATTGTTTGGTATCATATTATTCCATGTAAATATGGTAGTGTAAAGTCCGACCAACATGTTACCAGATTTGAAGCTGTTACGTTACCTAAGTACCTGTTTTTTACTGGCGTGGTGAATGTCACCTGGATTTTGTTTTGAGGTGCAGACCTAGTAACTCTGACTACATGGGTTTGAAGCTATTATCTATTCTGTTTTTACTGGCCTGGTGAATGGCGACTGATGTTGTCCGTGGATGGCACTGAAACAAATTTTGAGTGTTTTGTACAGTGTTTTAATACAATGCTGAGGGCTGAAAGTTGTCTTGTTTAGAGTGGTGAAAGTTCAGGATATGCCAGCCACCATGGTGGATCAGAGTCAAGTTGCAGTCAGTTCGGCTTCGGCAAGCACACGGATGGGCATACGTATCAAGACCTGCTCTGCCATACTTTCAGCCAATTTTACCTAGGTAAGTCTTTTCTTTTTTATGCCAAAAGCTATGACATTGTGAATTTCAGCACTGTGGCCTGTGTGTAGCTTTCAGGAAAGCAATTCTAAATAAAGCTCTGATAAAGTGCAAAATCAGCAATGCAGCCCTCTATTACATTTTCTACAACATCTTACTTGTTCCATGCATGGAGAGAAAAATGCAATGTTATGAATTCGTTTATTCACATAATTTGACAAGCATGCAGTTACCTGCTACTATCACTGCACAAAACAGAACAGAAAACATCAGTTGATCAAACACAAGACATAACAAAAGTTTACAACATAGGGCTGCCGAACCTGCTTCCTCCCACCACAGTTGATGCCATTTCCTAGCCTGGCTTGATGTGAGCACTGAATAGCTGCTTTGTCTAATTACAGCTCACTACCATTCAACTTAAACTACTCTCTTTAAAGTAAGAGTGAGAGCGTTCAGTGTTCATAGCAGCTCGACAGACGACAGACAACAAACATCTTGACAAACCAACCAGTATTTGATTTGGCTAATGATTTATGTGCTTGTTGTATCATGGCCAAACTACTTTAACAGCAATAATCCCTGTTTCATCTTGATCTTGCTTTTATTTCCATTTGAACTCAGATCTTGAAACAATCATCTGAAGTGATATCAGATACTGGCTTCTGTTTCTCTTGAAAGCAAGTTAAAACAACAATGATAAACTAAGGCAGGAGATGTGAGTTGTGGCAGTAGATTTTTGATTCAACATATGTCAACCTTATATTGCTTGAGACCTCTGTGACAGACAAACAAATATTTATAGTTTTTTGATAGTTTGGATTCTTGGCTTGATTTAGCAGATCAGCTGTGAACCTTGACTTTGAAATCACATAAATGTCATGGTACCCGAACGAATCCTCGCATGACATTTCTTCGTAGCACAATTTTTCGTCCGCATTTCTTCGTCTACAAATCTTCGTCGGTGCATTTATTTGTCCCTCAATGCTTACTCTTGCATATATTTGCGTTGAAGAAGAAATGCGAGCCGATTTTCATATACCCTGGTGCGAGACAAAGTAATGCGATAGGTACGAATAAATGCCCTGACGAAGATTTGCAGACGAAGAATTGCGATACGAAGAAATGCCATAAGAATTGTCCTGGAACCCTTTATTGGCCATCATATATTGACCTTGATAAGATAAACGCATCATTCGCGCAATATTTGTCGCACTTTGATACCAAACTATTGCTTCCAAATGCCGACGTAAAGAAAACCTTTATGTGACGTCATAGAAACAGCGGATTTCCCAAAAAGTAAACAAAAATAAAAGTCTTATATCTCGAAAACGGGTGAATATTTTCCGGTAAAATTTGGTAGATGTTCATTTTCGCTCTTTGTGATTCACGCTACATCACTTTTATGCCAATTCATTAACTTTTTTGAAGGTGGGAGGGTCCCTTTAAAGTTTATTTGCAGATTTATACTCTTAGCAGATGGCAACAGGTTGCGCACACATACTGTCGCGCGGCATACACTGTCGATCGTCTTCCATTTTTACGTCATCCCGTTTTACATTTTATCGTTTATCGTTCATCATTTCTGTAACTTGCGATAAGTGGATGAGCGATAATTCTGAAAATTTAGCGATAAACGATAACGATAACCGAGTTACTTAACAGCGATAATCATCGTTTATCGTTTATCGCTCATCCTATCGCATGCGGAAACCACTGTCATCTCATATCAACTGATTAATCGGTGACCTCTGTGGTCAATCCCAAATCTAGAAGCCCTAGGGTAGAAATGTTCTTTTCTTTTCAAAATAAGGCCACCGAAAATTGTCGTCGACGGTCGAACTGTATGAATTGCCTTGTTCTCAGTCACGTCGAATGGCATGCTTTGTTTAGGAAAGTTGAACTCCGTTATTGCCCGTTATGTTTTTATCAAGAATCCGATGTGTTATGTTATGTTGAAGTTATTCAACTGGGACAGTGATATTGCGTTGTAAAGATTGTTCAAACACTGCAGCTTTATTTATTTGTAATGGTAGCTTTCGGAAGTCATCCATCAAATGTCTTCCGAAAGCTATCCATTACAAATAAATAAAGCTGGTGTTTGAACAATCTTTACAACGCAATATCAAGAATCCATAAATTGTGACTTCTTACCACCGGGGCTCGGATTCCATTCGCCTTCCCACCCCGCAGATAGGAGGAACGGAAAAGCTTGTGGGCTGATGCTTGATAATTTGCACGGTGCTGCGGCCCTGACACGCGCTGAGCGGAAGTCTGGCGACGACAGACAGCTTCCCCTCCCAGGGTGGGGCCGGAAGAGGGGAGGGGGGCTCACGGACTCTGCAACGGCGCAGGCCGCAGAGCAGGGCCGTGTCCGTATGACTGCAATGCGGTCTCGTCTCAGCTTGAGCCCTTATCGCAATGTCATGGATACGAAAAATGAGAAAATGTGCTCTTCGCAGAAAACTGAACGTTTTAACGGCACAACACAAAATGAATGATAGGGATCCACCACTTTCAGCTGTATGGCGTACCCAGGCGTACCTACCTATACCCAGGAGCTAGGACGGATACGCATCTGTAAGACGTGTAGACGAGTAACGAGTTATAGCTTTGCATATTCAAAATTCACTAATTTTGTTGCAGCTATACTTTTCTTGCGTTATGAGCAGCGACAAACGAATGATCGGTTACGATCGGTGGCAGGCGCCGCCTTCCGCTCCCGAGTCCCGATATCATCTAACCGTCTCCGCTATTTTTTCTGTTTCCGGCGCCTCCAGCGCGGAAATGTTCAGTGTTTCTGCCAGCGCCGACGAAGCCGAGCCGTGTCGGTCTCTCCGCTCCAGCGGCCGCGTGCTGCCATCGGTTAGGCGTCGTCGGTATCTGCGCGTGCGTCGCAGACGACGAGCACGCCGACGCCGACGATCAAACGGACCGGTCAGTGGTGCGTCGAGACGCCCGGCGGTCCAGAAGAGGATCGCGCATGGAGGTGAGAGCTATGCTGAGCGAGGGTTAGGGTGTATTGCCAGCACGTGTGAGGTACGATTTATAAATCGATGGGACATGGAAATTGAGGTAATTGGGATACATTGCGGCATACCGTCAGGTCAGGTGCCATGCGTCATGTTAATTGAAATTGTTGTCATTTTCCTAAACGTTTGGGACGTAATGTTGACAAGA